GCACCATGCCCCTCCATTGGCTGGCCAATGCCTGCACCTGTCTCCACATTCCAGAGTTGCACAGTTTTCAAGGAGCTGGATGCAATCTGCTTTCCATCAGGTGAGAAAGCAATGGAAAAGGTAGCTTCACAATCATAGTCATTGTCATAATCATAATTGGAATCAGAATCAGAATCAGGATCAGAATCAGGATTGGGATTGGGATTGGGATTGGGATTGGAATCAGAGTTGGAATCAGAATCAGAATTGGAATTGACATCAGAATTGGCATCAGAGTGGGAACTGAAGTTGGGATCAGAATCAGAATTGGAATTGGCATCAGAATCAGCATCAGAGTAGGGATTGGAATCATGATGAGGTGCCACTGGCTGGCCAATGCTCACACCTGTCTCCACATTCCAGAGTTGTATGGTCTTGTCTGCAGAGCCAGAAGCAATCTGCTTGCCATCAGGTGAGAAAGCAATGTGAAAGACTGCATCACCATGCCCCTCCATTGGCTGGCCAATGCTTTCACTTGTTTTTGCATTCCAGAGTCGTATGGTCCTGTCCCAAGAACCAGAAGCAATCTGTTTTCCATCAGGTGAGAAAGCAATGGAACAGATGACACTATGGTGCCCCTCCATTGGCTGGCCAATGCTTGCACCCATCTCCACACTCCAGAGTCTTATGGTCTTGTCCTGAGAGCCAGAAGCAATCTGCTTGCCATCAGGTGAGAAAGCAATGGAAAGGACAGCCTCATGATGCCCCTCCATTGGCTGGCCAATGCTTGCACCCATCTCCACACTCCAGAGTCTTATGGTCTTGTCCAAGGAGCCAGAAGCAATCTGCTTGCCATCAGGAGAGAAAGCAATGGAAAGGATTGCATCATCATGCCCCACCATTGGCTGGCCAATGGTTGCCCCTGTCTCCACATTCCAGAGTTGTATGGTCTTGTCTGCAGAGCCAGAAGCAATCTGCTTGCCATCAGGGGAGAAAGCAATGGAAGCAATGGCATCACCATGCCCCTCCATTGGCTGTCCAATGCTTGCACCTGTCTCCACATTCCAGAGGTGTATGGTCTTATCCAAGGAGCCAGAAGCAATCTGCTTGCCCTTAGGTGAGAAAGCAATGGAAAGGATGGCATCATGATGCCCCTCCATTGGCTGGCCAATGCTTGCACCTGTCTCCATATTCCAGAGTCGTATGGTCTTGTCTTCTGAGCCAGATGCAATCTGCTTGCCATCAGGTGAGAAAGCAACAGATCGCACACTGCCACTGTGCCCTTCTAAGCTCAGCATTATCTTTGGCCAGTGCTGGAGTTGCCCCTGAGCAAGTTTGGCAACTCCTGGAAATTGACCTTGCCACCTCTGATATAGGAGGGATGACACTGGAGAAAATGTGAGCCCGGAGAGGTAGATGTGAGGCATGCTGGTTGCAATGGCACTTGAGAACATGGAGATGAATTGCATGGCATCATGTTGCAATTCAACAAGGTTCAAAGGCATCTAGGGAATACATGTTAAGAATCAGCCTGCAGCTTCAGCATGTACTCAAATTGGAACAATGCTTACATCAGAGGTACTAAGAGAGGCCAACACAGTTTGAGGGGAGCTCTGTCTTAGGCTCATCACTTCCAACCAGGCTAGGAAATCCTTGTGAAAGAATGACTCCAAGGGTTTATGAGCAACCTCGCCCCTAGGCATTGTGGACATATGGAAGCCCCAGAATTGACAGGCATAATACAAATGAGAAGGGATGTATTTTTCCACGAGTGCCTTAATATTGGGGATGGCAACATTGCGAAGGAACGACGTCGGAATTTGACAGATATTGAAGGTCAAGGTCTGGTCCATCACTCGGAAGCACGCCAGGCCCATGTCCTGATTGGCTTCACCTTTGTCGATGTAGAACTCTTGCTTATGGTTCGGATCGCACAAGAAATCACGATAAGAGGAGTGGAGGGGCACAATCGGCTCATCATCACTGTGCGTACCACTAAGGAGCGTGCCAAGAGACTGCACGATTTGTCGTTGGATCTGGATGTCCCCGGGGGTGAAGATAGAGTTGGCTGGCACTAGATGCACAAGAGCATGCAATGATAAAGGCTCCCGAGCGCTTATGATTCGGCCTAGGATTGATTTGACTCGTTCGACCGCCTCCTCATCGGATGGATCACAGTGCTCTTTCATGATGTCGCCATAGAGCCCATAGAGCTCTTTATCAGCATCCAGCATCTTCTGAAGCCGACTCCACGGGTCGACGCCAGCATAACGCCGGCGAATGAAACGACAGGCGGTAGCAGCCCACTGAAACGAAGTTTCGGCCTTCTCAATGAGCGCACCGATCTGCTTCTTGGACTTGTCCTTGTGCTCCTCCATGCGGAATTCAATCACGTTACTGAGTTCACTGTGTATATACGTCGCAATATCACGCGAGGTTTGATAAGTCGGGATGTGGTCCATAACTACGAGGTCAACCCCAGGTGGTAGCGGAGAGCGCAATGCATCTTGGATATCGGGCTCATATCTCGAAGTGACTACGACTCGAAGACCCGGAGGAAGCTCTGGCGCTCGCTTTGTTAGAATAGAGAGCGCGTCCGCACGAGCCTCAGCGTCCCCAGATTCGTCAAAGGCGTCAATGAAGACAACGGTCTCCCCCACGGCCTTATCATCCTCGAATGATCTAATGATAAGGTGTTTGAACTGCAACATGCAGTCGAGACTTCTTCGTATCGCGGTCTCGTTCTTCACAGCATCGACCAGACGCTGCTTCCGGGAGTTGTCGAGGTCGGCGAGATCTAGAGCGATTGTACTGAACAGGTTCGTCAGGTTTGCGAGGGGTTTATTCTTGTTGAAGCCATAGTACGACCCCATGCGTTCAAGGTCGGAAACGCGTTTCGCGCATGAGCGAAGGATCGACGATTTCCCCGCTCCCGCCAGCCCACACAGCCAAAGGACACGAGACGATTCCTTAGAGCTCAATGGAATTGAGCCGTTCGAATCAACCGCTGGCGTATCCGCTCCAACAGCCCAACGCACAACGGCGTCGATGATCTCGGTACGTGTGCCTGGCAGGCACCCTTTATCCAAAGAGTCACCGGCCTCCGGCGCGTATTTTATTTCGCTGAGCACTTGAAGATCCCCTGTGGACCATCTTAGAACACAGATTTCGACCGAAGACATACAAAAAGCACTTACGGACTTCATTCACGACGTCTAAGACGCGATGCGTAATCACGGAGCACTGTATGCTCGCATGATCAATCAGATTCCGCTGGAGAGTCTCAAAGGTCCCCTTGTATTTATCGATCTGTCCGTCTACAAGGGAAACCGTGTACTTCACAGTGCGTTTGACTGCGGCCCACATAGATTAGTCTTGGAGTAAGTAGAAGATGCGGGATTCCACATACCGAAGGACTTGTCCTTGCAATAGTCCCGAATGAAATTGGTGCACTCCATTACTTGGTGCAGTATTTGGTTGATGATGTCTTGATCTCTTTTTGAGCGTTTCTTCAACTCCTCGGCCTCTTCGGCAAAGGAACAGCTATCCGTCATAGTCTGTACTAAATGCATCACTTTGGCATCTCGTTCGCTCTGGACGGCAGGTATCTAATGGAACACCAGTCAGAGAGTATACACATGCAAAACTCGAATCTTGTCGTACCTTATATGCTGCTGAGACGATACCCCATGCTAACTTGATCCAGGGGTGAACCTGTTTTGTAAATAGTTCTTAGTGGTCGCAGAGCCCAGGGAATTCAGGATGAAACGTGCCTCGGCGACCGCATCCGCAACTTTCACAAGGGCGCCGAGGCGACTCAGCAAGGGCTGCCAAGCATTGAACTGGGCCGTGAGTTGTGTTGCAAGTGGGGCAATAGTTTGAATGGCGTCGTTGACAGCCGGTAGTCCGGAACCTAGCTGCTCGACAGCCTGGCCGGCAATCCGGACCGCCTCAACAGTGGATACGAGATCGTTGGCAGTCGGTTGACCGGGACCTAGCTGCTCGGAAGTCTGGCCAGCATTCTGGACAGCCTCACCAGTCACCACGAGAGCGTTGATAGTCGGTAATCCGGGGCCTAGCTGCTCGCCAGCCCGGCTGGGATTCTGGACAGTCCCACCAGTGGATACGACAGACGATGCCACACATATTGTCAACTCTCCGAATTTGTCGTTCGCGTTATCTTTCAAATCGAGGCGTATCTCTGCAGGGATAAAGACCGAGCGTGAGCGCGACCCTCTCTTCACATCAGCATGAGCTCGTTCACCTTTGTCCCCCGTGGAGGAGAGATCCAAACTACACGATGCGACGATCCACCCGGAACGTCCGAAACGGCGCTTGCGCAGCTCTATAGCCACTCTGCAATCGATAGGTGTTGCATTCACCGTGCTGCCGAGAGAATGTGAATGAAGAGCAGCAAAGCATGAAGTGCGTGAAAGAAACTTACAACTCATCTCCAAAGGGATCCTTCCACACCACGGCATCATGTGTTGCCTCGATGTACTCCGACTTTGGCGAACGAGGTCCAGTGATGGTATCGGGAGACTCAATGGTGAAGTGAAGGCGATATCGTTTCGACGTATGTAGAAGATGGCTGTTGCATTTGGCCTCTTTCGTGAGGGTCGAACAGCTTTGTTAGGTGCCAGTTGCTGGCTTGTAAGTAGACGGCATACCAGAAATATACACTTTGTGCATGTCCGCTGGGTTGGCGGGTCTTTAGATGGCATGATTTTCGAGAGAGCGTTGTAACTGATGGACTGCCTAGACGTTTAAAGATGATAGGCGGTAGTGCGATCAATTAGCACCTACGTGGGCACTCCTACAGTCAAGGGGTGGTTATTTCTGGCCAGGTCTCGCTAGTTGTAAGTGGAAATAGATAACAGAAATAGAAGATGGAAATTCAAAATTCAAAAGCCGAAATTAATTCTATTGCAAATCGATCGTCGTCGTCGGGCTAATTCATTGCGATTGCGATTGTGCATGTGCCGAATAGGATTGCTGCGGCCGAGCTCGCAAAGCAAGGCGGTCTTTTAGCTCAGTTGGTTAGAGCGTGGTGCTAATATGAATTATGCACGCCAAGGTCACAGGTTCGACCCCTGTAAGGACCACACTTTTGAATGCGAAGGCACCGTCGCCCTCTTTCTTATTATTTTCATACCAATTCATCTATGCCTCCTCTCTGCAAGAATAATGGGACATGTATGCCCTTACACAAAGTGAGTCGCGCAGCATACATAGCATCCAAATAGGCGATCTGCAAAGGGTTGACACGACCATGTAATCAATCTCCCTCCTCCGCTAGTAGAGGAATTGGGTACTGGTGTCGGTACAGGCGCTGGCACTTGCTCCAAATTCCCTTCCCTGTCTTACAATGAAAGTTCATCTCAGCACAATGAATACAAGGACCCCAGCCGAGTCTGACACGGCGAATCTTGCCCCCCAAGTTGGTACCAAAAGAAGAACGGTTCATACGAGGACGCGCTGACAGACCCACCGGGTAAAGAAGATCATCATCAGAAGGAAGACTGGCCCAAGTGACCATGACGCACTTCTCGAGGTATTGCTTGTATTTCCCACTAGGATCTCCATACACAGCCGCAACCGCAGCCACGACTGGGAAGAGCTCCGGAGCGGCTCCAGGCTCTCCAGATGTCGATGCGTTTTTCGTCATCGCGTAGTCAGTGGCCTTCTGGATCGTGCCGCCCTGCTTGGTAGTGAGGTTCCACGCGTTGAACCCGACGTATTGCCCTATCTTTGCATTGGTCTGGTAATATGCGATTGTTAGGACAGGCATGCTAAAGTGTGGGGAGTGGACTGGGCGTACGATTACAGCGGCGAGATTATAAGCTCTGTAATGAAAGGGGCTGTGAAGGCGAAGCCAGGCTCATTCAGATATCACGTCCCGCGAAGATGAATGCACTAGTGAATGCCAACTTACCGCGTGCGAGACGCTTCAAGCGGCTAGATGAAATGGAAAAGGTAGGAACGGGCAAAAAAATGCAGGGAAATGGCAAGGCATTTACTTGTTCTCCGTTGGCGTCTATCTGGTTCTGGTAGAGACTAGAGAAGAACTCTTGCACCGTATTCCTCGCATTTGTCGTGTCGTTAACAATGAGATACAAGGAAGCAAGCTGGTTGTGGAAGAAGCTGCCGTGATTACTGCGAAGCACCCCATGCAAACGAAAGTCAGGAAACCCATCACGTCGGAGGGCATTCCTACGAATTAGTCGCGGTACGCACTTCACAGTAGTCCTCTCTTGATATGCAAGAGTGCTGTTCGTCATCCACACAATGTATTGGCGGACCCATTGAGTGAAGCCTTGGTCTATCTGAGCGGTCCACTCAGGACTTGCGCCAAGTCGGAGGGTAAGCACGGCGGAGGCAATCTTGGCCATGCATTTGAGGTCGAGCACCCCTGTATGCTGGCCGGCCTGCACTCCTGGCCCTCGAAGGAGCTGGGCATAGTTCACTACACGGACCAGAACACGAGAGAGACATTCAGGAAGGGCGGGTGGTCTCCAACATGTACAGAACCACACACACAGTTTGGATTCATGGAGGTGGCTGGGTCGATGAACCACGTGTTGATAAGACAGGCCACACTGGCAGAATAATTTGAAAAGCCCGTGAGGCGCCAGGCGATAGTGTTGTAGAAGATGGCGTCGGACATGGCAGAGAAGGCCCCAGTATTATTAACGAGATGTTGGTCGGGGTTGAACTGTCCGTCCCTGGTGACTATACGACATCGTTGGGAGGGAAGAACAAATCTAAGGGACGCATTGCGCACCATATTTGCACCGTACCCATATTTCCTGGTCTGTGAGTACTGTAGTGTTCCCAGCTTTGCTGCAGTCTGGCCACGCATAAGGAGGCCAACTGAGATAGTCTTTCAAGTCCTTGGAAGGTGGGAGGATGGTCTTGTTCGTGACAGCTGTACGCGTCTTCAAGCCACAGACGGATAAATAGGGGGAAAGAAACGCACCCCATGGACCCTGAGATGTCAGGAAGTCCGCGCCTGGCGGGATGCTCTCACGAGCATTGGGTGTCTGGGCAGTCCAAGCAGAAGAATTAAGGAGGAATTGAGGATCGATGAATTCGTTTGCGTAGCTTGTGATAGCGGAAACGGTAGCGATATATGTTGTGATTAGGAGCAAAAGAGTGGCCATGGTGGGACAATAGAGAGGGTGTGAAGGACAGAGAGCTGGTAGGTAGGAACTGAAACACATCGTGGCGCCATACGGTCACAATTCCAAAATTAAGTTAGCTTCAAATTAATTCCAGCAGCTTTGAGGCCCAAATCAACTTGGAATCATGATTCCAGCATCAAGGACATCGCTCAGGACATTTTCCGTGCAAAATAGCCACCCAGGCTCACCAGAAGCAAGCAGGCCCATGTTTACCTTTGCAGATTCTCTAGGCAAATTAGCCTTACAGTACGTAATCTCCCTATTTGAAAACACGTCCGGTCTCGACAACCGCAACTGCTCACTTGAAAACTATACTGTATGTGAATGATCACATCGGCTTTTTCCTTCCCTTCAACTTCTTCAACAGTACTAGTCGTCTAGTGAACTCATTGAGGCACGCGTGAGTGAAAATGTCCATCTGCCCTGTGCATCCGGAACAAATGGGGAATTAATAATTAGTTGGAGAGCGAGAGTGTGGAGGGAGTGGGAATCCTGCTTGCGTGCCATGGATGCCAGGCTAACGACTGGCACTCTTCTTGCGATGAGGACTCTGGTGAACCGCACTCGACCTATTTATGTCTGGCTCGGCACAAAGACTCAAAGAGTGATTCACTCCGGGTTTCAATAACGCGGTTCCGAAACGGGACAAGACCCTTCAAAGGGCTTTAATCCCACCCAAATGCGGGATCTCACTGTCAGTCTTTCGCCAACATGAAAACGTCTGGGATCCTGATTAGCCACACTTGTGTAACCTGTGTTCGTGTAACAAGTATGGGGGCCCCAAGTTGCACTCTCCGATTCTGGCTTGTCCTTGTTGCCAGGCCGCAACAGATACACTCGGATAAAAACCGGATTCGCGAATATAAGCGGCAAGAGGCAGGGCTGAAAGGAGGGATTGACAGTGGCACAACGCACCGCCCTTGGGGCCCGTCCTATTGGTCAGTCTGCATGTGGTGTATAACTCGCACACAATACTCCAATCATTTTCATATTGATGAACAATGTTCCCTAGTTCCATGTGCATCGGCCTGACGTCTTGGCGTACGTGTTCATCTCATGAGGTACACAATAACGTATGTCCCCGTGCATAGGATCACCCAGTAGACGTTGATGTTAAGGGTAGAGCTCGAGTGGGTAAGTTCTGGACCACAACAGGTGTTGTGGCCTGGTCCAATTCTGGTCTCAGTTATCTATCGGAGAAATAGATGGATGAGGATCGCAGAATGGAGGGGAGGGTAACCCCTAAGGCTCCTACCAAGCCGGAATGTCTGATTCCGGCACGAACGCGGTAGATAGCAGTCGTCGACCATTACTGGGCAATATTAAATAATTGGCACTGTCAGTCGCCATTCCACGACGGGGAGGGGAACGAGTTGAAACCAAGTCGACTCGACTCGGCGCTGGGCAGAGACCGAGCAGCCGCGGGGCTGATGGCCCATGAAACGAGATAACCGTTGAGATCTTCGGGGAATTGACTCGCCTAATTCTGTAGCCACTGGCCGGAGAATTTTGGCAAAGCACACCGTCCTGGATGAATGCCTGAGGAAAGGATGCGTAATAAAGTGGCTATGCACTTCGGTTGGGCATCCACGCTGCGAACGCACGTTGTCTCCAAGGACGAGCATGTGGCCCGGCGAGGGTGCTGCCGAGTTCCACCAGTGTTCCACCGAGAATAGAGAGACAGACTGGATGCGAATGACTCTTCAGGGAATGATTCATGAATTGTGCTGGTTGCGAGGAGACAGTGGGTGGCCTTATTCTCATACTTTATTCTCGGTCGACGAGAATTAGGCGAGCTTGAAATCTGTGTGGTACGAGTAGTCCTCCAAAATTCCTTTGGGGATGTGGGGCTCTAGGCCCCCGTCGTGCCTGTATGAGCAGCAGAATCCACTGAATCACCATGACTACAGTCATAAGTATAGTCAGTACCAATAGTGCTTCCCCATTTTGGAGGCATATAAAGTAGTGCATATTACTAGTATATTACCTCCCAATCGGCACTCGGATTTACGGATGTTCAATCTACCCTGCAAAGAAGTAACGGATTTTGTCATCTCATGTCATGGACCAAAGGATAAGCGAAGTAGTTCAACTTGGCGTTTTCGCCTTCGGAATAACCCGTTCCCTCAATCGCTCTTCTGGGCAACCCAGACTCTCACTGTGGATAGTAGGCCTGAGGGATAACCCGATCTTCGCGCCTTGTTTCGGCACTGGTGCCTTGATTTGGAATGCAGCCCACTCGAAATGTTATGCAATCTACCCTGCAACGCTTCGTTCACACGTCTATAATAGTTGTGCATCTAAAGAAAGCAGGATAACGCGTATCCTGACGCTGCATTCTCTGTTCCAGCAATCCCCCTGGTCCTGTGCACGCCGATCGCCCGCCCGGAGTCTCTACACCGCGTAAATGCGGTATGCGACACCATTGGTTTGCCACGCTTTGCCATTTCCGTCTCCTTCTCTCCACCGCATCCGTCACGAGTCCACCGGGCTTGGGTATATATGGGCCTTGACAATGGCAGAAAATTCCCTCAGATAAATTCCCTCTCGTTTGCCTCGCGCAGTCACCACTCGTCTAGCCAAGGCCATGATTCCAACTCGCGCTCTTTCTCTGTTTTTCCTTCTTCTCGTCTCCTTTGGACTCTCCGTCTTTGCGGGCCCAATCTTTCCAACCCTCTCTATTCTTCCTCCCGCTGTCGGCGCGATCACCCCACCTCTCTGCCTCCCGCTGTCGGCGCGATCGCCCCCACCTCTATTCTGCCTCCCATCGTCGGCGCTTCGAGAAACTTGGTTCCCTATGCAGACCAGCATTGTGGTGTGTTCATCTTCCGCATCTACGTCACCTTGTTTACTCATCCGACTTAAGGATGCGACCATGATGTCCTGGATATTCTTCTCAAGCTCCAGGTAGACGTGGAGGT